TCTATTTATATACCAGTATAGAGGTTGTGGAGACTGTTAAGTTTTGATTGAAATCATGAACCGATCGATATTAGACCACCATTGAAGTCCTGGAAGCACTGGACGGCCGTTTCGTCCTATTGTGGGACTCCTCAGCAGTGCGTATCCACGATCCCGCTCGCGGATTTCAACCCAGGGCCTTCAGTCTCGCACGTGAACGCTTAACCTCTATAGCATCGTACATTTGATTTTGTTCGGAATTTTCTATCACCTCGCTTTCTTTACTTTCTGTTCAATAAAAATTTGTTTCAACGCATAAATAAAATGTATAAAAATTTATAGTTATGGTAAGTATACCTTTATTTCTTAATCAATTCAATCCATAAGTCACAGGACTCTTCACAAAATAAATGATTTCTGTAGTAAAGCAAACTATTAATTGGGATGGAATAATCATTGATTAAACAAGATTGTGAAGACTTAAGATATTTAACACACACTATACTCGCCATATGATCTGATGAACACTAGTTTGTCAAGTTATCTGGTAGTAATTTATTTCTACAGAAAACTTTCATTCAGAAATAAAACACATAATAGGCTCATTTCTATTTTCAAGAGGTCTGTGGATTATGTCAACATTTTAGTAAAGATAAATAAAAGTATTCCTGGTAGGTAAAAATAAGAGTGAGATTTACTGAGAATTGTTTTTGTTAGAAGTGGCTAGTCTCTGAGTTAAACCTACAAAAATATATAATACAGGCCCAATATTTCTTCTCACAGTCATGTCACATTTTTAAACTTTTACCTAAAAGCTGGCATCGATCTCATCTTCTGTCTTGATCAAACATACATTAATATATGACCAAGATTTGTCTTGATAAACAGGAAATATTTTAGCTATGTATGTAATCATAAAAAGTAAACTGAGTAAGTGTAAATGGAAATAAATCAATTAGAAATCATACAGAAACATAATAACAAGAAATTACTGTTTAGGCTCATCAGTAGTTAAGAGCACCATAATAATTTGTGTATTGCTTCTTCTTTTTTTCTTCAATCGAAATTATTAAAGGAAAGCTAAATATATTTGTACGTGGTTTTTTTTCTTTATTTTTCATAATGAAGGTTAACTTATGTATGGTGAAAATCTCTATAAATAAAATATTCGATTGAAATTTCACTGAATAACCTTGTTGTTAGAATAACATTTTTGTGTATATGTAAAGAAAGAGCATTACATCGTCATTTCTTTGTTAAATTTACTAATAATAAATATGAAGTAAAACTAAACTACAATATTACCACTTTCATTTATATCTAAATAGAAAAGCTTACTTCATAATATACTTATGTAATGTACTCATGTAAATCCCATGATATTTCATCGATAAGGAATCGTTGTAACTTTTCTCAGGTTTTTCAATGTATACTCTTTAAACTAAGCTTCCAGTTTTATATTTAAAAGCCAAGTTGTGATTTATGAGCAGAAAAGTCATTTTAAACTCATTAATTTATTGTTTATTTAAATAAAGAATAACTTTCAGTACACGTGAACTAATAAAATAATTACTTTTTTCAATGATTTAAATTTCACATCGCTTATGCAATTTAAAATAAGTAAAATACTGAGAGCTTGGATTAAACTCATAGTCTTGTTACCCCTTATACATTAAGGTTTAAACGAGTAGCAATGTGAATTTAAATGAACATTGTTTCTCGTAACAAGTGTTACCAATTATGTTCTTTTTAAAATGTACTAAATATTTCTATTCATGGAATGTTTACTGAATTATCTTTATTTCATAAGATTGAGTTCTTAGAGAAGTTTTGATTTGTAACTGACTACTCGGATTTCATAATATTCCTTAATAAAATATTGAGTAATTGCTTAATTGATAAGTTTTACTTGTGTACTTATGTGTACTTGGGAGAGTCAGTTCAACACCACTACATATTTTGTGTGCATATATTAATTATTTTGTTCCTTCATACGTGCAGTAGAAATATCAGATAACATGATCAAGTGATATTTCATGAACTATTTTCTTGTCTAGAAAATATGTAGAAACGTGTGGAGTCATAGATTTATTTTGTACCTATCCTGCAATAGTATTTGTTTTGGTTCAAAAGTGTACTTTCAACTACGTTGTTGATTCTTACCTTCAACATTGTAGCAGAACTATTTATAGAATGGTACAAATATGTGATCACTATTCTAGAAGATAGTATTAATACATTTTACAGTACACAGTGCAGATACTATGATAATCGCTCATAAAATATTGGTTGATTCATAAAAATGTAATGTTCTGATTTTACATAATTACATGGTTACAATTCGAAACTCGCTAATCATTGAATTGTTTTGATGTATCTTCAATTAACGAAACTGCAATAAAAGTGTTTATATCAAATACAAGTAGTTAGTTACTGTGTTTGATAAATGTTCAAACGTGTTGGGATACAGACGTTTTTGTTCAGTTGATTATACTGCCTTATCTTCCACTGTAATTCGAAATTTCGTCTGTCTGACTGACTGATTATTTAGTTAAACTAGTTTAGTTTAAACATTGTTCCCAAGTATTTATAAAACCTGAAGTTTTATTTTACGAATATACTCCCTATACTAGTCAGATGTAATTCTTGATCTGAGTTTTGAACCTAAAACAGTAAGTTATATCAAGGTCTGTTATTTCCAGCAGCTGAAATACAAGGTCACAATCCATCAATCGCAGTTTCAACTTCAGAAGCTGCATGCCGGTACATCAATATGAGATATTCCATATAAGATAAAATGTAAGAAGCGGATTTCCCTTATACCTACATATCATATTCATTATATCAGTAACGTTAACTGAATCAGCATAATATTCGTTATTGATCATACATAGTCTGCACCAGGAGTAAAAGTATTAAAATAATGAACTACAACTGTTATATCATTGAAAACATGACGGATTTATAGAGCAAGATAGATTAGAAGAAGAGATGACTACGTATTTTTACAAGACTTTCGATCAGTCATATTATGAGAAATTATAACGAAGAAACATTTGGAGATCGTCTCACCAAGACTACTTATAGTATTAGAGATCATTTTAGAACAACTCAGATAAATTTGTTGGTCGATAATAAACTAGTACGCTTGTAACGTTTAAGAATAGCATAAAAGAGTGAACCATATGTATTAGGGTTAAGAAAGATTGAAAATTAATTTGTTTGTTTTAATTTTCGGATTTAAAGTTAGAAACCTGCCATAATTTTGATCTATGAACATTGTTTTGTTAATATGTCAGCTATATTAAAAGTAATTTTATTTTACTTAAATGGAACGAACTAGTGCACTATTTATCAAGATAATGAAGGTCATCTTATCTACTCATAAGTGTAACAAATCTGTGACAAAAATTCAAATAAAATTTTTTGATGCATGAAATAATGTAAAATTATCATAATCAAGGTTTTTTAAACAAGGTTTATTCAGATAAAAAAAACTTGAAAAGGTTAGTGTAATTTGATATTCGAATTGAATAATGATAAACTGAAAAAATAATAATAAACTAAGGACACTAAACAGAGAATATAGTACAACAAAGATTTTATATTTTTACTGAATACCTAACACCATTTTATTAGCATACTCAAACGAGGATAATTATGTTCATAGATATTTTTTTTATTTACTTCAGTATTCCCTTTGAATAGATCAGTTAAATCTTCTTGCTATTTATCCAACAAATAATCTAAATCCTTTTCTATAACTGTTGAACAGTGAATAACTGGACACGTTTGATTTATCTCACGTTTATATTTGTTTAAAATACTTCGCATGCACATAAATCGTAATTGAAACATTGGCAAACTTCAGTTTTATAGAGTTGATAGAAGGTAACAAAATTAATTTGACGTTTTTTATTACGGTTTCTGTTTATCTCACTTCGGGTTCTACCATATTTAGACTGCCGAAATACAAAATGTCCAAACTTTATATTAGTGTCTTCAAGTTATCTCTGTTTATACAATTCACTACATAACGAAGGAACAACGAACTGCATTTCATTTCGGTGTTATTAGAGACTACATAATGTTTTCAGGTTCCTTATCAATTACAAAGATTAGCTTCTCTATACCATACTGTTTATCAACCGACAGAATTATGGATCTTATATTTTATCATCTATATAACGACTTAATGAATATTTATGTTTTTGCATATGAAAACCTTATGTCGGATAAATGTCAAACGTCATATCAAATTTAACTGGCTGCGAAACAGTTAACGTAACCAAAATAATTTATTCTCAAACATCACTAATGTCATATAAGAATATTTTTGAACTGGATATAGATTCAGTTGTCAATATTGTTATGAATATATTAACTTGATTTGAAAGTTTATTAATTCGCTTATTTGGATACAAAACTCCTACGATTCACGATACTTCGTTAATGAAGATTCAGCATAATTTATAAGAAGACATTGGGTTTAGCATAATTTGTATTAATCAAAAACTGTTTTAAACTATGAACAAAATAGCACTTCAATTGAATTAGTTTTGTTAAATAAATTTACTAACAGTTCTCTTCTTTTTTTAAAGAAAAAAGAAAAAGGAATTTCATTGGTTTGATGAGACAAAAGAGAAAAACATGATCATTATTATTGTTTGATTTTCATAGCAGTATTGTGCTTATTGATTATATATGTGCTTTCAGTAATATATTTTTTGATACTATTCGTTGTAAACGTTTGTAAAAATAATCCTATTTTTGAATAATAAAAATAAGGATTTAAAAAAGTAGAGAAGAAAATGCCTGATTATGCATCTCAAAACCTGATTGAACGTTAGTTTGCTAAAACAAAAATTAGTATCGATTTCAAACAAAAATATGTATTATGATAGTTTTCATCAAACTACATAGAGACCATTTTTTGTATAAAATTAAACCGAAGGAAAATAACAAATATAGATTGTGATATAAATTTTTCCAAATTAAGAAGACAATAAACGATTAAGTAACTCATACACATATTAAAGGATATAAACAGAACAGACTAAAAAAACATAAGGAGAATAATAATTAAATTGTAAAACAAACTATCACAAATGTGGTGAGTAATATTTTTAGTGAGATTTGTAATTGACGATCATATATGTAAAATTTTAATCATGCATTATCCTCCTGATTTTCACTACTTTTGCGAACTCTCAAACTTGGACACGTTTTAACACAAGGTATACAGTCAACTTTCGGGATAATCTTCTTGTCTTCAATCCAAATTGCAAACAGAAATGCTGTAAATGGAATATTTAGAAAACAGATCATTAGAATTTCATTGAAGATAGAATCTCCATCCATTTAGCTTAAAGGCTTGGAAGTTACAGATAAGAAAAGTGTTCACCCTTCATTATTTATCTCTAGATCCTTTTAAGGGAAAAAGATGATGAATTTAAAAATTGTTTAGTGTTTTACGAGTAATTATGGCACAAAAAATGTTTATCTGAAATACTAAAAGCCTCACTAGTCTCATTAATAATGATTTCAACATACTTCACAACTTTTCTTCTTTAAATTTATCAGAATTAAGTGATTCATCAACATGTATCCACATGCCGAAGAGTTTAGCAGGGAACTTTGTGAATTGATCAATCAATACTATCTCATGTATAGAATGACATAGTAAGATTCATCTTTGTGAGATAATTAGAACGTTCTGAGTACTACTGGAAATTAATTAGTAAATAGACAACATGGGAATGTTTTCCTGAGCATATGTTCATCTCAGCTTGCACGTCATGAATTAAACTCTAAAGAACAAAGATGAAGTGTCAATATATATAATAATTTTAGTTATGTCCTAAACACTTTAAAAATAAGGAGGTATGTATTTTGGAATTAAAATGATATGACAGTCTCCTTTTAGGGAGCTGATTTAGGTTCGTATGATAAGCACTTCTGACTAATACTTTTAAAGATGACATGTTAAACCTCCAGCAAAACATTTGTGTAATTATTCTTCCGAGTAAAGGTGAGGTCTTTTCATTGACCAGTACACATGAAAAAATTTATATACCAGGTTTGTACTGGTATTACAGAAGACATTTATCTCGAGTTACCAAGTGGTAATCGAGTTTATATCTTTGAGTAAAAAACTTAGTAACCGATATTCATATAACAACGAGGAATCATTCAACAATATTGTCCTAATACGAACACAATGTATATATTTACAGACCCCCACTTATTTATTGAGCTGACGCAAATATTAGTATACGTGCAAATGTACTATAAGTGATCTGGTCTTGTTTACGAATATTTGCTTTTGAAAACATGCTTTATTAATAAGAAATAAGTAATACAAGGAACCATACTGAAAAACTGACAATTATTAACTACAAAATAAATGGTATTATCTCATATCAATAAGGTTTATTAAATTCATTATTATGTAAATGTTAAGAACATACCGAGTAAGCAAACACCTCCGCAGCCACTGAACTGTACTAGGTAAGGATTAGATGCATGTATAAACATTGAGACAACAGAACATAGTATACTTCCCACAGTCTTAAAGGAAAGAAAAAACATTGAATAACTTAATATCGATATAATATTTTAGATTAAAAGGATTACTCAGAGACGTCTGGTAGCAAATAACATCAGGTTTCCAGCCTATATGACATCCTAATCAAAGTTCGATGGTGGCTAGCAGTTAAATTCAGAACGCACATTTCGTCCTACTTGGGACTCGTCATTTGGAGGCATCTTTATCCCAGAGTTAATGTTTATTCGTACTAGATTCCACTGTAAACCTCCATCCAACTATGCCTATGATGTTTTTTGATCAATTTCAACATCCATCCAATCCCTACAGGATGCGCATACATCAAAAGAGCAATCTATTGTAGTTCTGAACATCAGTGGGAAGATTCGAATAGCCAATACTAATTAATTATATGACATTCTCTTATAATGATTATCATTTTGACCCAGAAACCTGTTTCATTAACAAAAATTATCTACATTAACAGAATTCTAAATAATTGTCTAACATATGAAATTTTCTTAAGTTTTGAATGGGTAAATATTTTTTATGTAAATAAACACACTTCATTCTACGTTTTTTATTAACATGACTTTTGTATCGCATTCAATATGTTTGTTTTAACATTATTTCATGCTAAAAGTACAGTATGTGGTCGAAAATACTGATAAAAGTATTCATACTACAGGAATCAAGTAACGAAATCCATTGGTTACTGATTGAAAATATTCATACGTGCGTTATACATAAATGGCACTGCTAAACATATAAACCTTAATAATGAACATTTTTTGTACATCATTAAAAATTTATTATTTAACATCTAGCTTACAAATCCAGTAAACACAATGCCGTAGTTTATGGCAAAGTAAGTAGGACCAAATATATTTCCTGTACCACCTGGCATAATAACAAACACTCCACTCAGTACCAAAAATAGTGCCCACACCCAAATTGCGTATGCAGCTTTAAGACCCGGCATTGGTATTCCTCCAATATGTGGAAATGTGAAAAGTATTATAGCCCATAGTATTAATACAATGCACAATGGTAACTGAAAATTGGTATGATAAAAAAGCGTAATAATGAATTGTATAAATCACTGAATAAGAGTTGATAGAGCATTTTTGCAGCTCAATGATTGTAATAATTTATGTTCATATCCCTAGTTCAACATAAATATTGATCGTATAGATAATCATATTGTTTAGCTAAGATATACTTCTGAACAATCTGTACCAGGAATTATCGCGTTATATAAATTAAATGTAATAGTTCTAATGGAGTTGATATAGATGATCTACGTAAATTAAACAGTGAACTATTAAACAACTAATCCATTCTTATAAGCAGTGGTTAGTGATAATTGCTAGTTATTTTCCCGATCTGTAATCCAGTTTAAATAATCACAGTGACTTTCATCCAGTTTCTGGTTAACTATAAAATGGTACAAAATTTTATGATAATTTAGAAGTGAAATAACATATTACCATGATGACCGTTATTTAGTAGTAGATAGAAACAATTAACTAACCGAATGCGTAAATAACAGAAAAATTACTAGGTAAGAATTAATCTCGGCTAATGTTCACCACTGCATAAAACATTTTATTCAACTCAAAACCAGGTTTCGTTAAAAGATATTTTCACTTTCAATGTATTGGGTCATTAACTTCTGACATACGTTTTCTTTCAGTTGTTGGTAATAAACTATATAATCTAAATATATTTCCAAACAATCTTATTTGACTAATTATTTTTCAGCTCTTTAAAATAACCGACATTGTAGTTAGTTATTTTACTTGACAATAGCATATGTTTTGGTGTAAATATTGCACAAGCTCATTTGAATCAGACATATGTAAAACCTAAGACGTTCTTTTGTTTTAAATAAAATTTAACTTTTTGAACACAGGAGTAATGATCAGTTTATCATATTCATCTGTTGTTTCTTCAGATTGTATCGTGTAATCAAGTTGAAATATAAATTAAAGTGACTAGCTCATAAATAGAAATGAATACCACATTACAGCTGACAGAACGTGGTTAGCGCTAAATAAAGACCTAGTAAAATTGGACATAGACCTAATTTGTAAACTTTCCCAACAACATGATGAAAAGAGAATCAGGATAAAAATCTGAAAACTCGGAATTAAGGTGACATTATATGATAGAAATAAGTCAAATATTTACATGGGAATTGTAAACCTAAATAGTTTGTTCAAAAGTATACACCTTTCAAAGACTATTTTACATGACAATTAATTTACATTCAACCTAATTAGTATTGACTTTTAAAGTTATATTCATTCAAGTCGTAAATGTAAAGTCATTAAGAACATTTATTTTTCTCTGTCTATACCTTTCACATCAAATCTCGCCTGAATGCATACTACGTGAAACAGATTTTCGTTTGGTTGTAAAACTAGATTCTATGTTTTACTGATGGACTTGTGTGATGAATAGGCTAGAATTCAAGCCGTTGATTTCTTACTCTCCAGCAAGCATTTTCAAGAAGTACTTCACACATAGAATAATTATTCGCTCTGATAGGGATTTCAACTTTACAACACTATTACACTCATGTACAAATATATCCACCTCATGAGTTTCTAAATAAGTAAATAATGAAACTGCTGAATGACAACTATTAGCCATCACACATATATTTTGTCAACCTGTAATATAAAGTGAACGTAGTAATTTCTTGGAATGAATAATATATCGTATGGTCTATTAAATAGTTATTTTATGTGTGTATATACTCAAATGTGAATCTCAATTTGACAATACAAGAAGACAATGAACAACGACAATTAACTTGACCAAATAACGTTAATTAATGCATAGGTCTCGAAATATGTAAGTTATAGTAGATTCGTGGTAGTTCTTGTGGCAAAACAGCTAATCGTTTCGTCAAACGTAGAACTATCCTAATTATATATAATTGCATCAACTTGATAATTTGACAGAAAACATTAAATTAACATATAAGACATGTTGCTCAGAGCCATTTACAGACCAAATACAAATCAGTCATAGCAGGAAAGAACACTTAAATAGTCTGGATGAATTGTAAAGATAGTAATATCTGACCAAGTTAAATCATTACCTTGAACGAAATGCGATCAACTATAGCACCCCACATAATCCTACCACCAGCATTAAAAAGTGCTGTTATACTGGCAACAATAGACAGGTACTGATCATCACTGATAAACTGTTGTCCAAAAAGCTGAAATATATAAAAATAGTATTGTAAAATATGGATTTGTAATCGGAAATTCAGTTGTAATGTTTATCATTAGTAAATTTCTTCAAACAGTACTAAAACAGACACGTTTTCTAAGTATTATTTCTCATATCACTTGCTTAACACTCCTAATATTTAAATATTGTTTTGACCATAAGTCGATATCAGTCGGAGGTTCATTGAGAATAAGCGAATACCTTGAAGATATTTTCCTAGTCTTGAAAAATTATTCGTGCACTCGTCAAACAATTAATTCAAGGAATTCCTCCACTGTTTGCTAAAAACATTTATGCACACCTGGAATTAATAGCCTGAACTGAACTATGAATATCTTCCATCATTATATCAATAATGTTTTCTGACTTCGTATTTGTGGAATAACTAAGGATTTGAATGATAATACTGAAATGTATATCAAAATATACAGATATACTGATTATATATATGAGACAAAAAACATAAAGATCCAGATAGTAAACTTATGGAGAATTGTTAACTTTTAAACTACATTTTTTTTAGAAGCAATTAACTTTTTTCAGGGTAACTCCGAAGGATGGAATTTTTATTGATTTATTTCATTATTTTACTCTTACAGTGTTCTACAGTTGTAATTCACAAGCGACATACCTTGTTCAAATGAAATCAAATGTAACAAATAAGTACAATAAATATTTTAGAATTTTTATTAAGAGAGCAGAAAGTAATAAAAAGTCAAGTGCTTGCCAATTTTCAAATAAATATACATACATTATGCTTCATAATCACTTACCTTGTACGCTGATGTGATAATTGTGATAGGGATAATAATTAAGAACATTATTATCCATAACAAGTAAAAGTCAATTTTACGGAATAACTGCTTAGGTGGTAAGTTGATTTGGCTAAAATATAAATGATTACTTGTGATATATTCTAGTATTTGTAATACTTTAAAATATGGAATATAACCCAAATACGAAAATTTAAACATTTATTTAAAATAACGGAATATGCAATATCTATCAGCGATATACAAAACGTCCATATATGAATTTCTAGTAAATCAACTCACATAATTAAACTTTGATGATATTTAGTCCAATGAAGCAGAACTAAATGTTGAAGAGTAAGTCAGCTTTGAAACTAGGTATTTTGAAAAAGCTGAATCAACTGAGCACTAACTGTTTTTGTGGAGTCCAGCCTTGATCATTAACTGAACTGTCAGAGGAAATTTACGCTGTTTACAATAACAGAGAGGAATTTTAAGAGTCAGGTTAACCACATTATTACCTCACTATTTTCAGTTTTAATAAGTGCATTACTAGCAAATAAAGATTTCAATGGAACCCAACAAATTATTCATTCGAAATATTTTTATCCGAATTTACGGCATTTTATTACTCAAAAGTAATAATAGTCTATCGAAATAACTCGAAACGATAAATTCATGATACTAATTGTATTTTAAAATATATTTCTTAAGTGATATATGAGTTAAAATTAGATGCATGAAATAACTTACTCAGTGTTTACTTTAGCAGAATCAGGTTTATCCTAAAAAGTAAAAATACGCTGCATTATGTAGAAGGACGATAATTAATTTAGCTTTCTTTCTATTGCATGCATACTCTCAAAGTGTTTTTGATTTAATCTTGGTCAAAAATCAAATTCACTAATTTTCTTGTTCATTGAACGTGAAATTGTTATGCAGACTTTCAGAAATGAATATTTTTATACAAATGAAAGTTCGCCTTTTCTAGATTCGATTGCCTAAGACTATTTACATTAAATACAAAACTTAGTAAAACTTTTATATGAAACTGCTTTTAATTGAGTTTATATAATCATAAACAATGATACAAGGACTGTAATCAAATAATGTGTTTAGATAAATGTAATCACTCGTTTTAGTGTTGTACAACAGTGCGTTTTTAGTGTGCATTTTAGAAGCAAAATTACTTTCATTTTTGTTCGAACTTAATTGTTATGTTGGTTCATGAAATAAATTTGTGTTTTAGACGTTCATGAGACCAACCGATACCTTCTAAAGTACAAACGGTAGTAAGTTTTTATACATGGTGGTTAGTAAACCAAAGTTTACTACCATAAATAATAAAGCAATGACTTGAACAATAAACGTTAAAATGTATATGGTTACACAATAATGATGAAAGCATATCATCAATGGTATCAAAGAAATTTCAGTGATTTGATTTCATAAATCATTCGTAACTCATTTGAGAATAATTTTGTCGGAATTTCACCTATCTAGTGAGTTTAGATAATTATTAGATATTTACTTTCCCGTTTCAATAGATTTTTTCGTTTGAATAATTTTTTCTGGTTAGCGTTCTTTTAGCGAGTTAGTTTTCTACGAAATGGGGTCGCTAACCCCATGTTCAACTCTCCTTTTTTACCCGGGCTTGGGACCGGTAGTAACTCCGGAAGAGCTACAGATGTCGGAAAACAGAAGCAAGTATGAAAAGGATGAATAACAGCTGGAAAGAGCTGGAAAGGATTCCTCGGGACAGGGTTAGATGGAGAGTGCTGGTGCTTCTCCTCGAGGAGTAACAGACAGAAGTAACTTGTAAGTAAGATCTTTTTGTTAGACTGGGACGTAATCAAGAGAATGAACTACCATATGCTAATCTTCCATACTTTCAATATAGAATAAAGGTGTTCATTGATGGTTGAGGCAAATAACAATGCTTCTAACCAGAATTCACATATGAAAAAGTTTATCTTTCATAATTTAGTCAGAGTTCATTAGCTATCAACGCACAAGGTGATATCATGTACAGTAATTTCAAAAACTACGTTCTTCTTAAGTGCCAAATAGAAAATTCTTTATCCTACTGACAAATGTAGGTATTAAAGACTTCAACTTTGATACCGAAGTCAGTCTAAATTCCGTTCTATCTTCTTTTATATTCAGCCTCCTCATCATTGTGTATACTGAAGTCGAGCTATCCATCTAAATACCAGAAATATGTTCGGAATTTTCAACAAATGCAAACATTACTGATGACATTTTAGCTACTACTTGACACCCACCATTGAACGCTTCATTAAAATATAAAATTTCATTTGACTTCTAAACAAGTATTTAAGCTCAAAACATAATTGGTAGAAAAAGATCATATTCTTTAAATGTTAAGACTAGAGTTCAAAACCAAATACATATTTGCCTGAGGTATAAAATTCACATCATTGCAGAAAATGTAGATTAGTGGTCAGATCGGATGAAAACCTTTGAAACAACATTCGTGATGTACGAAATAGTCATAGAATGTGTTCAAAGAGCTCCACATATTGCGTGTATTCACGCCAAACAAATTGTTAGTCGATAAACCGCTGGTTAGTCGAGTCCTATTCATTCTTTCACAAGGTATCCCACCTTATGGTTAAAATCACAAACTGATTCTTACGCCATATTGATGATTTTCATAGCTATGAGCTGACAGTGTCAAAAGAAGATTGAACTAATCTAAAATAAAGATAATATAAGACTTGAAACGACAAAAAAATCTATTGACTGTTTATTTACCTTCTGTTTTTTCTCGCTCATGAGGACAAAGCCAACTATTTGTCCACTAATTAAAATCCCGCCTAAGATGAGAAATGCTCTTGGTATTCTATCCAATAGCTCAGGATCGTCAAATAGCCTTTATATAAGATGTAAAAAAATAAAAAAACATTATTCCAAGTTTAAAGGCAACCAATTCAGGAAAAAGTGTTTAAATAGATCCACTACTATGCCTATTGAGGTTTTAGACGGTTAAACTATATTTTCAGATTTTATTTACCTAATATCACTCATCAATTTCTACAGAATTTGAATTCACTTAGAAAATATAATGCCACCCAAGCTATTAGTATGTTAAGCAAATATAAACATAACTTACTAGATAGTAAATAAAATAACTACTAGAGGTATATATTGAATACATTGAATAAAGCCATTAATAATAACAATAATAATATTTGTTATTTACTAAAATCAACTTCTGAAAGGAAGTCAGTAGTGTTATCCTTAAATAAAGATTCTCAGTATTATTTTAGTATTAGTGCAATTTATTTAGCAACCTGCTTTTAAAATTTTATAAAGTCTATATTTACGAAATCATTGTATTTTCTGATAAGCCGATTCAAATGAATTTTGATCCCTGATTACTATTCTAGTGCCACTTTTTAAAAAAATGGTATATATATATAAGTTAGAAAGTTCCTTTCTACCGTTTTTACATAATTCTCAATTCTTTCGGGTGCAGATAACTACAAGTAAACAGTTATTCTGGATATTTTTGGCTCCTAGTAAGTATTTTACTGTGATTGTTATTCGTGATAATAGATCACTAGAACTAAAATTTTGAAACATTTGGTCAGGAATTCGTGAAGTCTATTTGCACTTGACTATATGTCTTATGCATGTTATTAGGGCAAGGAAAGTAGATAATTCTGAAGAATGGAGATGAAGCCTGGTACTATAAAGGTTAGATCTAAAGCATAAGTCGCTAACATGAGTTTTGTATATACAAAACTGTCTATTGTTGCTACTGCTTTTGAATAAAAAAGCACAAACATATGTAATTAACTATAATTAGGTGCACTTACAAATAAAGATTACAATATCTGATTTGCACATTAAAAAACTCTAGAAATTAACAACTGATACTTGAAAATAGTTCAAAAGTTCAGTTAACTACAAAATTATTTTGGATGGACATTTTACTCAGAAAGAAGCACTGTAGCCTCACGTAAGTTAATGTACGTTTTCACTTAATATAGATTTCGATGAAATCAGGCGGTTTTAAATGGACAATCTGCATTATAAAACGTGCTTCACTAAGTCCAGTTTAGTTTTTCAGTTACTAAGAATTCCTGAAGCTGTAAATGAGTCGTTATTTAAGCACAGCTGTATTTTGTTTGAATATCATAGAAAATTTTATTGACAAATGGACGATTGATTGCAACCTTCATGATCATAAATGGTTAGCTAAATATGTTTCAATTTGTAATAATTGTTCCAGAACCATTTAATGACCCACATAAATACTGTACCAAAATATATTTTTAATTAAACTACTAATAACCAACTTGCTATATACAATTTTATCTTTAACAGCCCAAAATTGTTTAGGTATTTGTTTGATAAGTCACTGTTGAATCACCATAATTGCTGTTGACCGTTTTTAGTGTGAAAAAACATGTACAACTTAAATCAAAGTAATTCTTTTAATTTCTTAGAAATGGTATGGGTGGATTTTTTATTTGAGGTTCACGATATTTAAAGTAATTTTGCATAACACTGCTCATACATATGGTCATTTTTATTTTCCTTTTTCTCCAAAATTGTATGACTTTTTTAGATAATGCAACACTTGAGAGTTTACATTTGTATCCGTCTAACGATTTTCAAGGAACCAACTATGTTCATGTACTTAATAGATAAATTGTAATTATGTTTCGGTAGTCTATTCTGCTTTTGTCTGGTGATTTACCTATTTGCATGATTTTGGTCAGATTTTAAACAAAAACACCATCTCACTTGGGCATTTGAAACAGAAAGTCAAAGAACATTTGGCATGTTTAGAGTGTATTGTAGTTTAGTCTAATGTTATTCTAAGAAAATGTTTAAGAAGCAAATGGTATTGTGTTATGGGCAGACTAACATGTACCTACAGACTAAATTACGTAATAAAGTTTATGAACCACCAGTACACATTAGCCCTTCACTCAAGTGCATAGAAACTCACTTTGTTTGGGGATTCACCGGTGTGTTGTTCGGATTGATAAGTGCCGTCTGAATGGGCGTAAAAACAAGTGCTCCCAGTCCAAAGCCACCGACAACTAAACCAACAATGAGGAATCGTCGTTTTGGAAACCACTAGATATAAAACAATGAAATTTATGGATCACGTATATATAAAGCAAACACTAAATACGTCAATAACTCTGGTTTTTTGTAGCGTGATTTGTTGCAAAAGATAAAGTAAATGGTTTATAACTGTAATTCAGGTACACTTTCTGACAATCCACTTAACCATTATTCAACCGTCTTTACGTTTTTCAGTTACCGTGAAAGTAATTAAAAACTATTTAAAATATAGAGCTCTGATTTGGTTGTTAATCTAGTCGTTACGATTTCAGTAGTGTTGTGTAGACGCTTTATAAGTCAAAGAAATAGACTTTGGAAAATAGAAGAAATTAGTAAGCGACATTTAAAAAAAACAATTCAACTTCATAACCTACTAAAAGCTCTACGTTTCATCATAAAATAAGAAATACTTAAATCACCTAACTTTAATATTAATATGAATTACTAAAACTTACTTTCGCGGCTACTCCCATCACTACCGAATATGCAAATCCAAGCCCCAGACCCATGAGTACTGAGTATGTTATAATAACACCAATGTAGGTCCTTTGAATTGTAATATTTGTTAAGAAAACACTTCCACTGAAAATTAAGTGAAAGACCTCACAAAATTCAATATACGAAGATGAGAAATACAATGTTAAAAATGAATCCTGCCCTTCCGTATTCTAAATTATTACTGCATAAGTCTGTGAAAACACAGAAGTAAATAGTACGGATGAATCAAGTATTTTTGGGTTTTGATTAGCCGTTAAGTTTGTCAGTGGCAAATGAAACTAAAGATGACAAACCAGAAGTAGAATAGGAACTAAATTTTCAATGTTCTGTCGTTTGTACACCATTTTAATGAAAGGATTGAGTAAAGAGGTTTTGTGAATAAAACATTCATTGGTGATAAGAAATAAGAATGATAATTTGCCATGAAACACAAATAAATGAAGCGTAAGTCGATTTAATTTATACCACTTATTATTGTTCTGATCGTCCTTTTGCTCTCGTTAACTCTAAAATTTGTTCGATTGCATTATTAAAAAATAGGACACTTCCTCGGTAATTCCATCTCAACTACACAATAATTGATAATAAACAGCACTTAAATTTGCATCCGATTTGCGCAGAAAGAAGAATAATACTTTGCTGACATTATCTTCATGCTCAAGAACTGACACATAATCATGGATATGTAATAGACTTCGGAAGATTCCAAATAAAATAAATAATCTCGAAACATACCTATGAAGTAAACATCCTAGTCCTACAACCACACGGAAACCAGCTTTCTGATACACGAGTCCACCAAGTGCCATTGATAAACCTTGAGATGCTAGTGCAAGCGCTGAGAGCCAAACAGTTGATTGACTTTGTACACTGGGATCAACACGAGCTTTAATATAACTCAGAATATACGGAACCATGTTCGCTATAAGTGATAGCTGTGGAAAAAATGAATGATCTTACCAATTGTATAAAAGTAACCAAAGGTTATTTGAATTAGAACAGCTCCTATGACTGTCAAAGTTCCGAATAACAAGTTCTTTTTTTTCCTTTCCTATACATTGCGGAGAATTTAATTAAACCAGCACTATTACCATGTTGCAAGGAATCTTTGGACATTTGAGTACCATGTTTGTACGGAGTCGACACGAAAACTACCGTAGAAGCAACTCGCATATTTAAATATGAGGCAGACCTTAGAAGTTAGGTTTAATGATTTAAACAAAAACGGACATAACTTTTTACTACGAGTTAGCATAACCTAATCAATTTTCACCAGTTATTTCATTATTTCACTACAGTTTATTGAATCTTGTGATTTTGTTGGCGCGCTCTATTTAAAAGGACAGTGGTATTGTTTCTCGTTGAGTTAATTAACTATTTTGATCGTAAATTACGCATCAAAACTGCTGTTTATTCTTTGATTGCATCTACCCCAGTTGGAGTGGTATTGTATTGGGTGTTTCGACTTTGCTTTTGTGTATTTATTGCATCGAAGCATACTTGGTCGACTTTTACTTGATTTATTTAGTTAGGGTTTGAGAATTCTTTTACATATCCTGTTTGTGTCACCGTTGTAATTGATTTTTAAGATGGCTTGATATGCTTATAAATGTGGACAACCATATTGCTTATTCCCCGTGGAAGGGATGCAATGTGATGAGTGTAATAAGTGGTTCCATAAGCTGTGCACCTGATTAAGCCCCACTGCATATAAAAGATGCTCAAATCCCAACCCTCATTGGTTTTGTAGTTTTTGTTGCTCAAGCAAAATATTAGTCATCCAGGAAGCAATTAGCCTCCTGATGTTGGTTAATAAGAAGGTTGTTGAGGGCCGTGATGGTAACATTGGTACTGATGGCGAAGATTGCGTTAGTGTTGTAATTGCTGTCACGGCGCAAGACAGACATCCACCTGTGCGACCCGCAGTTAAACGTTCTCCAACCAATGAGTGACGCCTCATTATATATTGGTGGCCATATTGCTACAGCAGCAACCGGTGACCCAGATAAAATAATTACTGTCCCAAGTGGTTCTAATGTGGATGCTTCGAGTGATGGAAAATGGATGACACGGAAAAGCAGAACAGCAGGAAAGACAGCTAAAACTAATGAGCGTTTACTTGATAAGTCCTTGGTGGACTTAGGCCACTCCGTCAAAGTCCCATAGTAAAGCTTCGTCTAACATTGTTGTGAGTCACTCGCCCGACTCCCAGGACTCTGTTACAATAAAAACTAATCGTAAGATACCAGTAGTTAATATACAGGATCTAATATCGCGATCGAAAGCTGTTAACACGATTTCAGAGGAAGCTAAATACCTTCCTAGTTTAATTATTTGGAATCTAGAGGAGTCGATAGACTATGACTTTGCTAGAAGACATGCACATGACCTGCAGTTAGTGGAGTCTGTGGTAAGAAATGTACTACCTTAAGAGGTTTCAGGGTTACATATTACAAAAGTAATACGACTTGGTAAATGGGTTGTAGGCGAGACCGAACCGAGAAGAATCCTAAAGCTGGTTCTCGGGAGTTTCGAAGAAAGAGACATATTATTGAAAAACGCACTAAAAACTCGTGACCCAAATATCCGTATTCGACCAGATTGGCCGCTGGATGATCTAATCAAGTGGAAGAATGCTCTTACCGAATTGGGAACTCACAAGTTAAATGGCGAAAATAACCTTACCATTAAGGGTTTACGGGTAGTCAGGTCTTGGAAGACAATGCTTCCGAGGCTTGCATGGGAAGACGATTGATTGCCAAAACACCTTAAGTGTGTGCTACACGAACTCTCGTAGTCTTAGAAATAAAACGTCTGAGCTAAGTTTGATGGTGGAAGAATTATGTCCCGATATAATCGTTGTTACAGAAACTTGGTTCACAGTAGATATAGACTTTTCTCCCATCATCGAAGGCTATATCTGTATTAGAAGTGATAGAGTTTCAAGTCGCAAAGGGTGAGGTATAATATTATACGTTACGGATCACTTTCGTATACAATCACTCATATCGGAGGCTCATTTCAGTGGCACTTGTGAGGTAGCATGTTGTAAGATTAAATCCAGAAATGGGTTGGGGATTATAGGGGGAATATACCGTAGTGCGTTTTGTTTTGCTGATGACTCTATCATAAGACACATCTGTTCTTGGAGTATGGAAGAATATTGTCTCATCATTAGGGACTTCAACGCACCGCATATCAACTGGATAGAGCTTACGGCTCCAGGTAGTGGCTTTGATAGCGACCTTTTATCCACCGTTATTCAGTGTGCGCTTGTACAATGTATCACAAAACCAACACATATTGATTTCAATCATGATGCGTCACTGCTGAACCTCGCCCTCACCCACCACTGTGAGGATGCCCTTGATATTAAGCACCTTCCCCCACCAGTGAACAGTGATCACGTTGTAATTCACTTTAAGTTTAAGACACATGGTATACAATTCGTAACTGCTCCACTTCGTCCCAATATCTGGCGAGCCAATATTCTGGCAATCAGGAACTGTGCTATCTCGACTGATTGGTCGGTCGACGCGGATGAATTGATCGAGGATGAATGGAGTAAGCTTAAGGCTACATTCGAGCCCGTAACGTCGCCGTCTAGCCCATGGTCAGCACGTAACCTATCACATTGCCCTCCATGGATTATTAAGGAAACCCGGAAGCTGTTAAAGCGTAGGAAACAGTTCTGGGACTTATTCTTGTTGAAAAGTCAAGCACCATTTAAGCGTGAGTACCGAAAATTTCGTAATATCTGTAGGAAAACCATAGCCAAATCCCGTACCACTTACGAACGACAGTTAGTATATGATAGCCATACTCGTCCGAAACGACTGTTTTCGTATGTCGAACGGCGAATGAAACGTAGTGATGGTATTCCCCCGCTACTGCTACACGAAAATTCAAATTTACCAACTGAATCAGATCGAGCAAAGGCTGAGACTTTTTCAAACTATTTTAGCGAAGTCTACTTTATGTTTATTGTAACAAATACTTGTCCCAATCACACTGAGATACCAACCATTGAATCTGTACAGGTGACTGATGAAACTGTCCTTCCGTTGATAACTGACCTCAAACCTGGTAAGATACCGGGCCCTGACGGGTTACATCCACGTTTGCTGTCATCTCTTGCGGACATTATTTCAAAACCGCTCGCGACACTCTTCAACATGTCCCTTTCACTCGCTCAACTCCCTAGAAATTGGAGGGACGCTATAGTTAGTCCTATATTTAAGGACGGTCAGAGACAGATAGTATCTAACTACCGGCCTGTCAGTCTAACTAGCATTGTCGTTAAGTTGCTTGAAAAGATCATTCGGGTTAGGTTGCTAAGCCACATAGTTTCACACAATCTGTTAGCTTCTGAGCAGCACGGATTTCCTAACAGGCGTTCATGCTTGACTAACTTGCTTACTGAGAGGGAGGATTGGACAGCAGCCCTAGATAACGGTCTGTCTGTCGATGTGATATTCATAGGTTTTAGCAAAGCATTTGACAAGGTTTCACACGTAGGTCTTATGCAGAAGTTCACGAGCTTCGGAGTAATAGGTACTGTACATGAGTGGATAGGAAATTTCTTATGTGACCGCAGGCAGAGAGTAAGGGTCAGTCGGACGCTGTCCGACTGGAAGTCGGTCAAAAGTGGTGTACCCCAAGGCACCATCTTAGGCCCTCTGCTCTTCCTTCTCTACGTTAATGAGTTACCGCTGTTACTTAGGTCGTCGACATTATTGTTTGCGGATGGTGTAAAAATCTGGAGAACAATAAAAAGTGCGGCTGATTATCTGGATCTTCAAGCTGACTTAGACTATTTAGTTAGATGGGTTGGAGATTGGGGCTTAGAAATCAATGCTAGGAAGAGTGTGCTAATGCACATCGGTCACGGTAATAGTTACCGTTATACTATTGAGGGTAAACCTCTTCCATGTGCTCAAGAACATAGAAGTAGTATTAGGTCATGATTTAAAAACAACTACGAATTACAAAGCAGCCGCTGTCAAAGGTTTTCGTGCGTTATGGTCACTTCGCCGAGCGTTCAAATCTTTTGACGACGAAACGTTTCGAATTTCATATCCCACATTTAGAGTACTGTATCCAAGCAGCTAGCTCGTGTCTTACAAAGGATACTAACTCCCTTGAGCGTGTTCAGCGTGTGAGAAGGACATTAGTGAAGGGTCTTTCTAGACCCCCTTACGGTGGGCGTTTAAAACGCCTAAACCTTTTCCCCTTGTCGTATCGTAGGACACGAGGTGACCTTATACTGGCATTTCGTATCTTTAATTATGATTTGGGTGTTAATATGTCTTATCTTTTTGCTCCCTCCAGCGCTATTAATCTGCGAGGTCATGGCAGGAAGGTTCATAAGCCACGATCTAATGAACTTAAAGTTGGGTCCCGTTTTTCTCATCGAGTAGTCAATGACTGGAACACCTTACCCGAACATCAGCCCCACCAGAGAATATTTTCAAGGAGAAGCTGGACCTTCACTGGAAAGCAATGTGTCAGGATTAATACAGGTTCACCAATCTACTATTCTTATTACTGAAGACTCGAAACTGAAGAGGTCGAGATCATTTAAATCACTGAACCTCAGTCAAATTAGCCCTCAAGCTAAACTCTTCCGACATTACACGTCAGATCACTGGAACGTTTACTGAATATGGTCAAGTTTGAGGGTGAAAAACGTGAACTAATTATTTCTACTCTACGAACCAGCTCTTGCAGCTGTGACTCCACTTAACATGTCATATAATAGTTAGTAGTAAAAAAATTTCCAAAACAACCAACCTATTTGTCTTTAGTATCAATACTGGTCTTATTAATTCTGCTAGATGCGCTCTAGCTGAAGGTGCTCTGCCGTGCATGGGAACCAGATCATTAGTTGGTACTCCGTGATACGCATTCCTTGCAACTACTAGATAGCTTAGATCAAACGCTACCGGACATATCGGTAGCTTTCGAAACATGTGTTTGAACTTCTTCATCTCTGACTTTTGGTTTGACCGGGTCGGCATACTTTGATAACAAACGTGTTACATGTAAAGGCGTTGTCCAACCCCAGATACCTGTAGCATTTTTGAATACATTTTTCCGGTATATGTATATCAGTATATCAACTTAACTGACTAGCCAAGTTGGTGCAGATAGTCAGTAAACTGT